GCATGGTGGCATGAGGTAACGTGCGAACCACCTACTTCGATCTCAAATTTACCGCCACAAATAAAGACAGTTTCCACTGGAGAAAGGAAATACAAATCTCAAAAATGTTTGTATTGTGATGAAGACATAAAACAATTTTGAGGAATGCACCCGCTGTTCACTGCTTTGGAGTAGCTGTAGCTCAAGCTGACTTGACTCAAAGAATTCTACATCACACGACAGTTGATTGACAAATGGTCCAGTGGGACCTAAGGCTCCTTTTAAAGCGCGCCTTCGTGTTTAAATAATTTTGTTGCTTTTTGTTAATTTAGACCTATTATAATTACTTTAAAAAGTCACCTAGGAGATTTACGAGATGATGATCATTTTTAATTATCTTCATCAATTTATTACAGCACAGCAATTTTTTTTTCAACATCAACTAATTCTTTACCTGGATTTTCGCCTGACGTTTGATATCAAAATCATTACGATGCATTTAATAAGAGTGTCTACTAAGAAAGGTAGTTAGCCAAATTACTAAACACTTTTTTTAAAACACTTTGAATCACGTCTAGTTAACTTTATACTTAACGCTTTATTGTCTTAGTATTAGACACGATTTTTATCTCTGTTACAATTGTCACCATTACAAAATTATCATTATAAACTTTTCTGTCACGTTTATTACTGGTGTGCATCAGTTGTAGAAAGTTAGTGCCCCAAATTGAAACAAATTAAAGTCGTGAGTCGTCCTTCACAAAATAATATGCACTGAAAGCTGGGAACAAACCTCACTCATTGCTTCNNNNGAAAATACTTACGCTTTCAACAGAAATTGAAAGTCTCTTCAACTCTTTGTATTCAACTTCTAAAGCTTTGTGCTGCTTTTCCAATGCTTGTTTAGAATTCTTGAGATCCTGCGAAAATATATGACAACCATGTCATGTCACATATCTTAACAAAGGATACTTCTCCAAAAAGCTATATATTCAAAATTCAACTAAATAAATAAATAAATAAATAATTTAGCAGCGTCCACTGTTTCCAGATCGAATCGGAATTTGGAATATTGGTTTTTGCGGAGGGAGGAGAAACCAGAGGACCCGGAGAAAAACCCTCGGAGAAAGGATGACAACCAACAACAAACTCAGCCAACATGTGACGCCAGGTCCGGGAATCGAACCCGGGCCACAGCGGTGGGAGGCGAGTACTCTCACCACTGCGTCACCCCTGCTCCCCAACTATAAACGATAGACTTCCAGAGAATCAAGTTTTAGGGAATAACCTGTAGTATTTGTTACGTTTAACCCCAACGACACGTGTGTTAGATCAGCCTACAAGTATCAAGGCTCGCACTTTGATTAGGTTACCCCTTGACCCAGTAAAATGACTGAGCAGGTATCTGTTTAGAAGCGAGCACACCAATAAGTATGCTATCGCATATCCCAGCCATGTGGTAGTGTCTATTATTAAATATTTGGTATCTTAATATGAGCTGCTGTACAACTCGGTACTCACATCAATCTCTGCTCGCTGTTCCGTTAACATTCGCTGAGCCTGAAGAAAGCAAACACAATAAGCAAACCAATGTGAGTTTCTCTTTATTCAGAACGAAGCATGCAATACTTTGTCACTGGCTCCGCACAAAACCTTTCTTCGAAATGAAGACAAAACTGAAACTCAAAGAGCATAATCCTTCAACAAACACGAGTGAGCAAAGCGAACATTCATAAAAACGACGTTTACATTTCGCTTTGGAAACTACCGAGTGTAACATGAACACGTAGTTCCAGACTGCTCCACAAAGCTAATGCTTTTGTTAATATTTTAATGCCTCGGAGAACATATTTGTACAGATTCTACGGACAATTTAACTCCTTACCTCCTCTAGTTTACCATCTTCCTTCTCTTTATCTTTCTGTAACAAAATAAAAGTAATAAAATTCAACACCAAAAAACCCGAAAAAGACCAGATAAAGAGAAACATTTGTGAAATGGGAACGCTCTTATGCCTTAGCAGTTTCATAGTCAAAATTTGTCATCGTAACATTGAAAATGGATCTAACGATTAATCTTCGCATATGAAAGAGTAGTTACACTTTCCTGGACTTAAAAAAAAAAAAACAGTTTAATTCATCTTAATACGCATGAAGACATGCTTAATGAAATAGCTTACTCTTGATGAGATAAACTTCGAATGAAAACGCCCTTTAGAGTTAAATATCCTTATCTGACCTCAATTACACAAGGTACTTGCGACTGTCAACCTTCGCTAGGTATTGATTTTGGAAATAGTTTCTTTAGAATTCATCTTTGTACCATAACAATTTTAAAATTGCAGTTAATACATTTTGATATTTAAGCAACTTCATGTATAAAATACAATTGCAAGGGTCTAAAGTAGGCTCACGAAAATGTGTTGTGATTTGTTAGCTGTATATTTTGATCAAATATATAAAGGATGGTATCCATAACCCGAACACAAGCCTCCTATAAGAGAAGCTACACTCCTTCAGTACAAACCTTGCTCATCACTTTATTCAATGCTCCCTTTAAACCTTTCTTTTTCTTGTCAGGGCTGTTGTTTAAACTGTCAAGTGATTCCTACATTTGATTTTATTAGTTAATAATTAAAAACTACACTTAACGAGTCCTTCAAGAGCCAGCTTTCATTACCCCAACATAATAGTTTGATTTAATTTATGCAAACTATTTTACCAGTTGACTTCCATGAGCCCAGACCTTTCTTTTCGCTTCTAATTCCAACTATTATTAAATGCATAATTTTACTTTTAAATCAAATTTACAAAAAAAAAAAAAAACAAACAAACAAAAAATCACTTCAAGAAAACATTAACTTACTTTCAAAAAAAGTAAAAATGTTGCAAAGCATGAAACATTTATATTTTAACCGAGGCTAATTAGTTCATTTTTATTTGTTGGAGGTCCTTAAAATCTTACCTAAGAAATTGTAAATGATAAACTTACAAACTAATTATGATTCCTCCGCAAAAAGATAACATGGCATTTGCTTCACCAAAAATGTGAGTTACAAAAACATCACAATCAAATGGCTTTAGCATGTGTCAAATTCTGCTCTCGAGATAGAAGTCTTTACAATGCTAGATTGAAAGGATGATCATTTCACATTCTTTGAGATCTTTAGCCTTAAGCTTTTAAATGAAGAAGTTGACAAATTCTGCCAAGTACCTGACAGTGTGTCAACCATTACCCCTCCTCCCCCACACCTACCCCCATTACTAAACACTTTTTTTAAAACACTTTGAATCCATGGTAAAACAAAATAGAAAATAGAATAGAGCACTGTTGACAGACCTGTGATTTTCCCAGGTCATTGTTTGCCTTGGTTAAGGCCTCTTCAAGTGACACCACCTTCTTCTTCAGTTCTTCCTCAGAACTTTGAACTTTGGCAAGCTCACCCTTGGCTGTTTTCAAATCATTATCACGTTCAGCAATTTCTTTGACTGAAGTTTCCATTTGCTGCTTGCACTTTATAAGATCTTTTTCAGTGGATTCTAGCTTGGAAATTGTATCAGTAGGTTCTCTATCTTGTGCTCTTAGCACTTCAAGTTCTTTTTCAAGATTTCTTACTTTATCACTGTCTTCAGAGACTGTAGATTTTGCGAGCTGTTCCTGTAATTCAGAGAACCTTTGCTTTGCTTCACTATCAGCTGCCCTGGCATCCTTGAGATGTTGCTCCAAAGATGCTATTGTGTCCAGCTGAGATGAAGCTGATCCTGTGGTCTTTTGAAGATCTCCTTCCAATGTTGATATTTTATCATTGGCCTACAATACAAGATGGTCTGTTAACAACTGGGTTTCTATATTTTCCAATGCACAAACAAAACAAACATATCGAGAGTATTACAAGCTTATCATTAAATGGACTTAGCAGTGGATCCACATCCCATTAGGATCAATTTAGAATCTAAAATCGTAATTTTGTGTGCAGAGAGGAAAGAGAGAGATCCTTGAAAAAAATTCGTCCTTTCAAAGGAGAACAAACCCACTTTAAATAAAGTGAGGTTTAGGAAGAGCCTTGACCACAGCCACACCAGTGTAAGGCAAGCGATCCAACTCCTACACCCTCCCTTCTCATATAAATCTCTAGCATCCATTTTGGTCCAAAGGCATTGTCCAAGATGTGCCGTCTTACTCAGCAAACATCATAGTTGCAAAATATCAACAGGTCAGGTTTATTAATAGACATCTGATGAGAAATATCAATTTCTATGGCTACCTCTTTGAGCTCCCTCTGAGTTCGTTCCACAATCTTCTGCCAGTTGTCCATTTCAGATTCAACATTATCTTCTAGTTTTTTGAGCAAGGACTCCTGAGACAAGACAGCACACAAACCAAATTAGTACAATTCCTTAACTAGCTAGGAGATGCTTTCTTCCCACCGAAATATCTGTTTCAATTATTAGATCATGTGTTTTAGAAATATTTTAGCCACAGCACAGTTAGACCTTGAAGTTATGACCTCATTACTTACGGTTTCTTGAAGTGTGACTTTGTAATGAGCACATTCTGCTACCAAAGTGTCTTTTTGTGCCTGCACTTCTTTAAACTTCCTGGTAAGCTCTTCCAGCTACAATGAAAAATATTTCAAAACTCAGGGGGAAAACAAAAATATGCCTGTCACAATTTAGTGCCAACAATTTTGGCAGTTAATACTGACCTCTTCACTATCACCAGAGGATTTAGATGCTTGTTTTTCAAATTCCCCAAGCCATTTCTTGTATGGCTAAGTGACAAAGAGACAAATGTATAGGATGTAAGTACCATCACTAGTTTAACACTGCCCTAGAACTTTATCTGGCAACTAACATTGAAGTTCCCAATGCTGAATAGACTACTGTAGTAGTCTATTATACAGAGTGCCCAAGTGCCATATTGACAAACTGCAGAGAGTTCAAAATGCAGCCGCCAGACTTGTTGTTATGCAAGGCAAATTTTGCCACATAACACTGGTGCTCTGTCAGCTGCATTGGCTTCCTGTCTCATTTCGTATTAATTTTAAGGTTCTACTTTTAACTTTCAAAGCCATTCGCAAATCCGCACCGTCCTATATCAATGATCTTGTCAAAATTAAGCCTTTAAATTCAAGATATTGACTGCGTTCTAATGACGGAATACTGCTATCTTACCGGAATTTTAAAACTTTAAAAACCCTAGGCGACCGTGCTTTCGTTGTTTTGGCACCGAAACTCTGGAATGATTTACCTTCGGAAATTAGAAAGGCTAAATCTGTCAACACTTTTAAAAAACTCTTAATTAAAGACACATTTTTTTAGTAAGGCTTTTTATTCTTAGTTAGCTTAGCTTTTAATATTTTATACTATACATGATGTAACTGGCATCTATTACAGAGCATTGTTGTAATGATGTTATTAGTATTTACTTCATGCATTGTTGTAATGATGTAATTAGTATTTATTCCATACATTGTTGTAATGCGCAGTTCATCATCCCGTCATGGAAACTCCGCAATAAAAATCCAAAATTTTATTTTTTATTTTATTTACTGAAAAGGCAGTTTGGCTCCAAGGCTGGAAATCCCAAAAGAAGACTCTCTTTCCTTCTAAAAATGGTCACCACTAAATAAAAGTCTATAAAGATAGTCTCTTTCTGTTATCCTCGTACCTTTATCAATCCTCACAAACTACTCAAAACACTATTAAGAAATATTAAAAGCCTACAGCAGAGGAAGCAAAACACACTTCAATAATTTTACTTATAAGCCTTTAGGGTATTTCACTCACCAATGTGGAGTCTACCATAACATTTGGATGAACTCTACAAAGAACAGCCTGCAAAATGTTGAAAATGTATCATCAGTTGGGCATCTATGGCTAAAAGTGTTTAATTCAAAACAAGTAAAAACAACAACAACAACAACAACAACAACAACAGCAACGGATAAAACAATAACCTTTGTTTCATTTTGTTCTTCAAGCATAATAGTCTTGTTTTCACCCTATCAACAACAACAACAAAGCAAGATTCTCAAAATTACAAAAAGAAATTAATGCTACAAGTTTTTCATTTTTTTGTTACTGTATAACTTGACTTTAAGTCACCTTGAACCCCAAACATTGTTCCCAAAAAAAACTAAGAAAAACTAAAAAAAAAATTAACCAGTCAAATGAAACTTCCAATATGTTTTCTTTTGTAGATCATGGCTCTGACCTCTGAAACCAGAGAAAGGAGTTGTTTTGTTTTCTCTAGTTTATCAGTGTCACTGCAAGGTGATCATACCTTGACACTTTCTACAGCACTCTTGATTTTACTGTTTACACTTTTTTCCATGTTAGACAACGCATCCATTGCCTTCCAGTTCTTTTCCCGCAATTCCTAAACATCCCAAAAAAGAAATAAAAGAGTAATGCATTAGCACATGTGAAAGGGACATAGGAGTCTTCTGATCCAGGTAACTGTTATGAGCAGTTAAGAATCAGTTCAGTTCTATCCTAAACAAACTTGTATCATCTCTTTATATGGAGAAAATGGTTTATAAGATTAAAGTATTTCCTAAATCAAGACTCAGACACATAAATTGCTCACAACGAACCTACTGTACACATCCCTGGCTGTAAAATATTTCACAACCAAAAAAACGCAGCATGTCATACTACTTCTACAACAATACAACATACAACATACAACACACCACAACAAACACAGCATGTCATACTACTTCTCAAGCAGCACTTTTGAGTAAAGCTTTATTACAGAACTGGTGAGCACAAATCAAGTTGAAAATTTTTCTTCATCTAAACTTACATTATTCTTATCCTTTTGCTGTTGTATAACATTTTCTAGTTTGCTACATTCTTCCTTTTTCTCCTCAAGTTCTTCAGTGAGTTTTGTTATTGCATCGTCTTTTTCCTTCACACTGAAATTAAAGGAGGAGGTTTATCATAAAGTTTAAAAGAAACTAATGGAAGTAAACTTTTAGTAACTCATACACAACAACTGAATGTACAAAGCATCACAGAGCAATTTTCACCTGGAATCAAAACATTTCACGATGTTCTGCTAATTGTACTTGTTAAGGTTGGGACAGACAAGTGACAAGCTGCTGTGTTTGTTTTCTGCAACAAACCCTTCTGTGAGTATTGCTTCTAAAGAAAGTTCCTTGTTTTCATGCTGCTATCAAAGGCACAAATTCAAACTAGTTTGAATTCATGCAAGGAAATGATTTTTTTCACAGTGCAATGATTTCAATTGCCAATAGAAACTGTCCCAATGTCATCTTTTTTGAACTGTAGGGGTTTTCGCCCAACATACTTAGACAGTCATCGCCTTTCTATTCAATCTCTTTGTCTCTTCCTGCTTTTTGAGAGCATCCTAGCAGTTCTAATGAGAAAGTAATCACTAACACATCACTCTGTCCATTAGCAACAGCATCATTTGCCACCTATAAACAAAACAAACATCAAGAAATGTTTACTTTTACTGAACCATATCAATACTTGTTACTAACATTGTTTAGTGTTTGTATTTTAATGAAACACAATATGTTCCTGCAACATGAACAGAAAAAAGAGCACTGCATTATACAGACAAAGAGGATTTCAAAAAGAAAAGAAACTTGTGCAAGCACATCCAGAAATGAAGGGGGAAAGTATAATAGAGATTCAATTTCTGAGTGGATTTTAAAGAATATGAACAGAAAAAAGACTCGGAAGAGAAGGTGTCAGCCGAGCATCACATGCAAACCTGGCACACTTGTCAGGTTTCCTCGACATTTTATCACAATCCCAGCTTACTCTGTGTTGGAAAAAGGTGGGAGTGAAGTAATCCCTTAGAAAACAAGATCCTTGACATACTAAAGGAAAGGAACAAAGCTAAGCCTTGATTTTGATATGATGTTGTTGTTATAATTCTAAACAGTCTGATCTTTCACTTTAAAAAAGGACAGTATGACTTGAGACTGTAGTGTTAATGATTAAAGAGGAAGACGATTGTTACCCACATGCACAAGATTTTTGTTGAGATCTGTTTACGACTGGATGGGAGAATGTTGTAAACATGTTATGAGTGAAGAAGTTGTTAATAATGTTAATAAGTGTCTGGCAGAAGGTCTTAGTACCTTGGCTGCCTCAAGAGCCTTATTAATTTGCGCCTGAGCATTTTTCTCAGCATCATTTACGGCTTCCATAGCCTTCCAGTTCTTCTTTCGAAGCTCCTGAGTTACAAAAGAATACTCAATTGTATCAAAAAGGTTTAGCACTGACAACTCAGCAGTGAAAGAGGTCTCTCAAGGTATACCCTTCCAATTCCAAGATTAAGATCAAAATGGTCCTTACGGATATCTATTGTTCTTGGTCAGGTAGTTCATACACAGGGTAAAGATTTAATTTCCTTTTATAGCTCTGCAAAGGAATTGTTCTTAGGTATTTTTTCCCCATTAGTTTCAAGTCATATTTAAATAAAACCCAATAAATCCTTAGCCCTCACACAAACTCTTGTACATGATAAATCAAAGCCAACATTAACTTTTAATCTTCGATTTACACGAACCTCCTTTCGAAAAACCCAACCCAACCCTATTGTCTAAATTCTGCTCATGGGTCTTTATAACTTCTTATAAATATTCTTCTACTGTAAGAGAGGAGAATCTGAAGATTTGATGTGTGAGGATCAAGAACATGAGATGGAGAGTAAGCAAAAACTTGCCATAGTAGAAATGACAATTTAAAAAAGTACATCATTTAAAAGATATGTTTCTAACTGGGCCTCTACGGAAACTGCTGTGGTCTTGTATGTCTGTCCCTTCTGTCTCTTCACTTACCCCTTTCCACCCTAACATTGGAATGCATATTCTCCATACTGTTCCCTATACATTTCCTTAAGTGCAGGCAAGGAGAAATTGCTTAGCAATCAAGAGCTTCTTCAGTTAGCGATCATTTCCTTTATTCTCATGACCTCAGTGTGTGATTCAGGGGTGATATCGTAAGGAGAAATTAGATGCTGGTCACTCTAAGGGAACAAAGGGTTGAAGTTTGCTTTTAATATTTCAAAGCATAACCCTAACAGTGACCAAGATCTAAATTCTCTCTACAGTACTGCTGCTAAATCATTCACTGAGATCATAAAAATTAAAAGAAATGACCACCACACTAAGAAGCTTTGATCATTAAAAGAAATGCTCTTGGTCAGTACTGAAAGAAATGTATTCGGGAACAAATGGGGAGAATACAGATACTGATGTTCAGGTACAAAATGGTTTTAATTAATAAGCTTTTAGTACAACTCCCTATGATGGTCCAGGCCCCGGTTGTTCGAAGGATGGATAATGCTATCCAGTGGATAAATCCCTATCCGCTGGATGGCGCAGTACGTTTTGGTAACACTTATCCCCTGGATAGTGATTTATCCGTTGGATAGCGTTATCCGCCCTTTGAACAACCGGAGCCAGGTGATTAATTTTGCTCTTAAAGACCAAAAAAAGATAGTCACAGTCTGGGGTATAACATTACAACTTCAGTGCCATTTTTACTTACATTATTCTTGTTCTTTTGTTCATCTAAGAGACTCTTGAGACTGGCAATTTCTTCATCTTTCTTCAACACATTACTATTGAGTTCAGCAATGACATCCTCCTTAACCTTTAGTCTGCATTTCATAAAAAAAAAAAAAAAACATTGCTAAATAAAACCAGTACCATAATTTGAAAAATTATAACTTGTTAAAACCTGAAGTGTTCAATAAATAAAATATATGATAAACACTTACGCATCTTCCTGGATCTTTGCAGAGACATTAGGTTCCTTGCCATTCTATAACATAAATTAAACATAATTACAGTACCACTACACGAAAGGCTGGACTCAAGGGGAATGCTTGCAAACGAGGGACAAAAATTACTTCATTAAAATCTGAAATGGAAAGTTTTCTTTTACCTCAGCAGGTGCTGCACTGCTCACATGATTTGAAACAGAAGTCTGCACACTTTCCCTTGCTAATTTAAGTTCTCCTTGAAGTACCTAAATTATAGTGGTACAAATTCATTACAATATTCCTTTGTCTTTTAAGTTTAATGGAGTATAGATGAGTCTTATCTTGTTAAGTTCACTTAACTCAAACCACTTTATAACTTAAACGTATTGCTACACCACACCCAGATAAAATACTTTTCCACTACAGGTACCGTATTTACCCATGTATAATGCGCGCCTATGTATAATGTGCACCCTTGTTTTAACCTAATTTATCAGAAAAAAAGTTTTTCATGGAAAAAACGACAAGTTAAATATTCGTACAATTATTTATTAAGACAACAAGAATAAGAAATTTACTATATCATTAACATCAATATCTTTCGTCACTTAGTTATTTAAGACATCATTGAAATCAAACTTTAAATAGGACTTCAAGTGAGGCCCAGCAAATTTGACTATTCCATGGCCCAGTAAATATTATGAGGTGAGCAACAATATGTCTCAAAAGTATTGAAGATTTCGTGTCATGTCGTCGTATTTTTAGAATTTTCAAACTAACGCTATGCAATTTTTTGGCCATAAAGTCAAGTAAACAACAATATAACCACGATTAATCCCACTGTGTGCGCTTTGTACATGTAAGAAATCTGCGCGTTTTTCCCTTATAACAGCAAATCAAGTACTGCTTTAAATAATGCTTTTGTCTTGATATATTTCTTGCTCACTTTCTTCTTGCTTCTCATTGAAAAATTCCTTGTAACATGAGATCTCTTCACTTGTGGCCAAATTTGCATATCCACTCTGAAATCTGATCCCCCTGCCTGTTTGCATACTTGCAAAAATATTTAGCGATTTTTGTCTTTCCTCTTGATTTTAGAGTAAAAACTTAATATGCATCTATACTTTTTCATTGAAAATAAGTTATTTAATCAAAGCTTTAAATGTGTTACTTTTTTGTTGTGTTTTTAACATATGCAAATCAGGACATGCGTAACAAACAATGGTATCCGTGTATAATATGCACTGCGATTTTGATGGTTATTTTAATTTGTAGAAAAAAAAGTGCGCATTGTACACAGGTAAATATGATAGCCACCCCTTCTGCACTTGGTTAGTTTTATTGTTGACAATTGACTCATTTCCATCTAAACTCTTCCAGGAAACAAATAGAGATTATTGACCCAAACATGTTACCCAAAAAACACTGCAACTTTACTAGATTAAGGTTTCCAGACAAAAAAACTCCAAGATCTTTTTCATCGAGTCACAGCTTACTTGTATCTCTTTATCTTTTTGCATCTTGACTTCCTGTGATTTCTTTAACTGATCTTCTACATCAGCAACTATTTTTTGCAGCTCAGAAACCCTTGCTGTTGCTTCCTGCAGTTTGGCTGTCAAGGAGTGCAAAGCATCTGCTTGGCTGGAGTCAGCTGCTGACAGTTCACTCAGGCGCTTATTCAACTCAGATGTTTTAGCTTCTTCAGCTTTAAGACCTTGTGCTGTAGAGTTCAGATCTTTCTGCAATGCTGTGTTTCTAGCTTGAGACTTCTGAAGTTCTTCATTCACTTCAGCCAGTCGCTTTGATAACACATTCTCTGCTTCTTTCTGTGGAAGAAAATACATCAATCACTGCTTAACAATTATTCCACGAGTGTGTGTTGGATATGAGATGATAAATAGCCAACAAGGTGTCTAGCTCCGAGTTGGCTATAATCTCATATGCAACAGGCCCAAGTGGAATAATTGTTTTACTAAAAACCTTAAATTAAATTATTAAATTTTTTAACTCCCTTTTAATTTTAAGCTGATGCATACGCTTACCATATTTGTAGATTATGGTATATTGGCTCATATATCATAATGGCTAAGCCAATAAAAAGCCTTGAATTGCATTATCCAGTGATCCAGTTTTTAATAAGTGATATCCCATAGAGGAAAAACAAAGCAAATTTAACACATCACTCTCAATCAAACCCGGACAGACATAACAGCTACTTATTAGCAGTACGCTACAAATCTCTGTTCCGTCTTACCACACTGTTCTGATGAATTGTCAACTGCCGAACTTTCTCCTCACTCTGTGACAATTGATCGATTTTAGTACCAAGTTCTCCCTTAACGTGACGGCACGTTTGCTGTAGTTTGGTCAGCTCTGTAGTGAGAGATTCTTTATCCGCAGTTCTGAAAACAAACAGAAAAGGTAAAGGTGAAGTCAACTCAGTTTCATTGACATGAAATGTCTAGGGGCATAGCTACCCCCTCACCTAAACAGATGCTAGTCCAAAGCAAGGGTATCCACCACCTTATACCAGTTTACACTCCTTGGTGGAGAGAGGCATTGTGGGGGAACAACTTGTGGAGAAAAAGAAATCCTGGTTCAGCCAGAACTAAACCCAACCATTTTGAGTTGAGGTCCAATTTGCTACGCAGGGGCAACTGCACCTCCTAATGGCAAATGTAGCCACACTTTATCGAAGCCTTTCACTTCCACAAGTTACCAACAAGGAATTGCTCCTTACAACATCAACACAACTTTTGGTGAAGAGAAGAAAAAAAGAATATCAAGTACCACATACTGTTTCATTATACAACAAATACTCGAAAAAAAAATTCTAAGAAATCATAGAGAGTGGATGGTAAGATCGCGAGAGTGGAAGGGTACAAACTTTAAAGTGAATATGGAACAGGTGCATGATGAATCTGATACATATGCACTAGAATGTACTCTTTGATTTCAATTTATTACTAACAGTAATCAAACTCATAAACATGACTTGATATACTTACAGTTGAGCTGCTCTCATGGATGCATTCTTCAGTTGACTATTTTCCTATTTACAATACAGTAAAAAAAGACAGCAAGGCTTACAAATAATTTGTTGGGGGCAAGACAGTGGTTGAGCAACAGGTCAAGGCTCAACGCTAACAGTAGCCCGCTAACCACAGACTAGTAGAAATTCAGGTTTGGCTAGTGGTTTTCTATGTCCACAAGCCAGTTTGGCTAGTAAACAAAGTGAAATTGTTGTAACATCTAAATATGTCACTAGCCACTTGGCTAACTAGGTTTAAAAGTTAGTGTTGAGCCTTGACAGGTGGGAAAATGGAAAAGGCAAGTGTGTGAGAAAAAGGTTTTTTAAGGAAGGTGGGGAAGGGATACAAAAGAAAGTAAGCCAGGGTGGAGAGAGAGAGAGACTATGTTCTACTGTGAACAGTGTGAGAACAGTGTGGGAAGGAGAGACAGATCAGCCTGAAACACAATTAGGCTACAGTACTAAATAATGAAGGGGAAGTGAGTAAATGCCAGAGACAAAGGAAATATCCGTTAACAAGCCAAATGGTTCAACTGCGAGGAAGATGAAGGAATAGAGAAGATATCTTTACCTCTTGAAGGCGTTGAATATTTCCCACAGACGAGGATGACATCACATCCTGCAACTGATGCAACTGAGTTTGCAAAGTTTGCACTTCTAATGTATGGCTGTCATGAGAAGCCTGCATGCGAGTTTGGAGAGCTTGGATCTCTTTGGTCTGCAAGGATAGATTGTTTTTGTCACAACATGTCTGCATGATAAACTTAATCAACATCCTACCATTCATTGTATGAGGAGGAAAGAAAGCCTTACTCTAACAGCAAAGCTTGCAGCACCCTTGGAAAGTTTTGGATGAATTACTGGTTAAATCTTTCTCTTTGGAAGCAATGAGCTTTTCAACTTACTTGAGCGGTGATTTTACTGGTTGCATTAGCTTGTTGACTCTTATTTTTTTGTTTTTCTTGTTGTAGTTCATCCCTTGGAGGGAAAAACATGCATTATCACACCATAAATAACTGTAGTTCAAAATTACTAACATCAACTAGTGTGTAAAGACTCTCAATCTGTTCATTGGCTCCAATTTCTTACCCAGACTAGTTAATATGAACTTTCTTACAGGGCTCAACACTAACAGTCGCCTGCTAGCCACAGGCTGGTAGAAATTCAGTTTTGGCTAGTGGTTTTCGATTTCCACAAACCAGTTTGGCTAGTAAACAAACTGAAATTGTCATAACATCGAAGATGTCACTTACTACTTTGCTAGTAAGTTGAAAAGTTAGTGTTGAGCCCTGTCTTAACAAAAGACAAATAATGTCAAACTATCGCATGGACATGTAATTATAGGCATCCTAAAGAGCCTTCATCTGCAAGTACAAAGATGTGAGGTCATCCCCCAAGATAAATTTACCACAATATTTTAATAATTTAATAAAATATATGAGTGTCCTGAAATAATCAGGGTCTGCAAATGATGACCTCAAAAGTGTGTGCACTTCATTAAACAATTGCCGCAAAACAAAATCCAAGCCATTTCAATCACTCTGTCTCAATTATATGCTCAACTGCTATTTCTTTAGGTACTTCTGACTTTGCATTCTTATTTCCCAAGTGCCAATTAGAATGTCCTGTACTGCTACCTTTCAGAATTAAATCGTTTGTCATTCCAATCTCTCCCCAGACCTCGCTATGAATAGCAGTACAAACTGTCTTACAAATCAGAAAAAAAGTATCACTACACAAGGCTAAAGAGCACCAGCTCCAGGTAGTTTGTGCATCACAAAATTAAACCTGAACAGATCTACACATTGTTCTTACCTCAGTTCCTTTAACTTATTAGCAGCATTCTGAGATTGTCGACGCTCTGAAAAAAAGATGACATCACTTAGTTTGTAACTTTTAACATCCATTGTGGTTTCATAAAGGAAACCATTTCAACTTTTGAAGGAATCACCCACACATAAAGAAGTCCATTTAATTCACCACCTCTCTACAGGTTCAAATTCTAAAAGAGGTTCAAAATTGGTTGATGTCAGGTCAAACAAACCCATTAGCAAACCAGCTGTGTGCTATTTTATAAATGAATAAAGGCTGATAGTTTCGAAAGAAACTGTTTGGGGCTGCGTCGGTGGGAGTAACGAAATAATTTGGATATATCAACAAAGTTGAAATGGTAAATTGGCCACCGTAATGATTACAAAAGCTGACGTTTCGAGCGTTAGCCCTTCGTCGGAGCGAATAGAGGAATTGTGGGTTGTGTGTGCTTTTAAAGGCAGAAAATGGAGCTACGTTATTGGTGGGTGCATGGCAACGAGAAAAACATGAATAAATTAGTGGAATGAAAAGCGTTCATTGATCCCTGTGGGATTTAGACTGCCGGTTTGAAAGATGAGCTTTTGTTCAAGATTTTTACGGCTTTCCGTGCCACCTAAGTGCAAGGAAAGACCGCAGATTGCCATATGTTGCTTAGAATGATTAGGTAAATTAAAATGTCTAGCGACTGGTTTCGATGTGTCCTTGTCATTCCTTTCCACGTCTCGAAGGTGTTCTCGGAATCGGTCACCTAGTCTTCTGCCTGTTTCGCCGATGTATATCTTTTTGCAATAAGTGCAAGTTATGCAATAGATTACATTAGCGGAGGTGCACGTGAAGTGATCGGTGATCTTAATGGATCGTTTAGGTCCCGATATTTTATCAGTGTTGTTGGCAGAAGACTAGGTGACCGATTCCGAGAACACCTTCGAGACGTGGAAAGGAATGACAAGGACACATCTAAACCAGTCGCTAGACATTTTAATTTACCTAATCATTCTAAGCAACATATGGCAATCTGCGGTCTTTCCTTGCACTTAGGTGGCACGGAAAGCCGTAAAAATCTTGAACAAAAGCTCATCTTTCAAACCGGCAGTCTAAATCCCACAGGGATCAATGAACGCTTTTCATTCCACTAATTTATTCATGTTTTTCTCGTTGCCATGCACCCACCAATAACGTAGCTCCATTTTCTGCCTTTAAAAGCACACACAACCCACAATTCCTCTATTCGCTCCGACGAAGGGCTAACGCTCGAAACGTCAGCTTTTGTAATCATTACGGTGGCCAATTTACCATTTCAACTTTGTTGATATATCCATGCTATTTTATAAGAATGTCTGAGTTATCAGAAGTTAGAAGTTAATAGAAGCATTCTGGCTTCCAAACTGAAACTCAGTCCCATCTTTCTACCCCATGCGTATAACCACAGAACTACAATATGAGAGCATCTGTAGCTAAGAGTATGGGAATATGACTAAAGAAAATCCTTCAGTTACTAATTTCATTCTTCAATGAGAACCTCTCAGTCAGTAACTGTTCTGCATTTTTCAAAATGGATTATGCTATACACCTGTATAATCAAATGATTTCAGATCTCACATACCTTCTGATATCTGGGTCTCTTTTTCCTGAAGCTGTTTCTTCAACAACTCCAATGTATCACCCTTAGAAGATGACTGTGAAGAAAAAGACCACTGCTACATTTATTTAGAAAATACATAAAAATGGACACATTGTCCCACTTAAGTGAAACTGTTGCATCTGATTCAGGTAGCAAAGTGACTAACTTTCATCTTGCCATTTAAGGTTCTGATCTACAATCAGCAACAAAATTGTTGTACATGCAAGTGATATTCCTCAATTATCAAACCTTGCATCCTCCACTACAAGTCTTTGGTTAAAACTTAATTCAAGACGAGAGAGCATTTTGTGATTGTTACAAAAGAAGGGAAACAGTTTTTTTTTGTTTATAAAGTGTTTCAGAGAAAACTCAAAAGAAAACATCCTGTGCTGCGAAATGCTCATAAACATTTTTTCACATGCATTGCAAAATATTTGAAGGATATTAAACACAATAGCCTCTATTTTGCAAGAAAACATGCTTGTATACTTGTCCTTGGACATTATCTGTTCTTTGAAGTTCACAATTTCCATCAAGCTTTGCTCTCTGAAAACTGTTTGTATCTTAGAACAGATAATGTCTACATACAAATACCCATACATATTTTCATGCCAAATAGAGGCTACTATTTACATAGCAAGCTAATTTTATTCTGATACCCTTCCTTTCACTCCTCCTCCCCATTTACAAAAGTGCGCTCAGTTTTCTGTGATCTTACATCATGGAAAGTAGGAAGGTACTGTGGTTGTCTATCGTAAGTTGTTGTCAGCATAATCACCAACTTCCCTACCTTCTTCCACTGACTATTTTCCCCTTGCTTGTTAAGCAGAACATCAATCAGAGATTGAATTTCAGTTGAGTTCAGGTTTGAAACTGTCACCATTTCCATCAGGCGTTTAACACTCACTTCACCTGAATGAGGAGAAAACGCAGAAAAAAAATACGTATATATATGAGAATCTGACGAAAACTTGTACCCTGTTTAAACAAACTACAAGTTTTAAATTCATAAAATATGAAAGGTTAATTTTGTTATCTTTAACCAACTACACATTACAAATTAAGATGGCCTCAAAAATTTTAACATCATTCTGCCTTTTCATTTTAAAAAACTGTATGAGGTCCTCAAAAAGATTCTTGTTTCGCACTGAAGTCATGTTCACAGTCATAGAACTTGTAATCCATTAAAATCACAAAATGCTGGTATCTACTGGATCACAAAACAATAATAACTGAGATACATAGGAGTTATCAAAATTCTTTCAAAGTACCATGGTGATCTAGTTTTAAAAAAAAAAAATTAAAAAATAACTGGAAATCAGGATACAACAACAGAGTCACAATACACCACCAAGAAGTTCTGGTCAGTCAGCTGAGTGTTCATATCATAAAACAAACACACCTTCTCTACTTAAATTTAGAATTGTTTAATTTTGGAAATAACATCAGCATAATGGGAAATAACTAATAATACCTAGGAGGCCAAATCACTTGTAGGGTGAAATAAGAATATAGAGCTAATTTCTCCATACAGTATCTCACTTGAATCAAATGTTTAAGGTCATGAGAATATAGGAACTGATCACCAATTTGAGAAGCTCCTGATTTTCAAAAAATTCCTCTTTGTCCGTATGAGAGGAAACGCAAAGAGAACAGCATGAAGGAAAAATGACCAAGCCTGACAGTTTTAATTATATAGGAATTTTGATATTTGTAAATTATTTGAGCTGCCTGACCAGTTCCAGTGAAAGATACACAAGTAGGGAAAGTCTTTGTTCTGAGAAAATTCTTAAAAAAAAATATTACAAAAAAATACAATCTTGCCCTACAAAACACTGCAGCCGAGAATTTTCACACCTCTGAAAGCTCAAGGAAAAACATAAGCCTTACATCCTGTTTTTAAACAAAATAAACAACCCACACAAGAATGCTAAATACTTTTGGTTTCCTAAAATAGTTTTACACGACCAAATATTTATTATGAACTGATTAGAGGTTGTCAGCGCAGCAATTTGAAGTGCTATATCCTTACTAAATTCATACAAAAGCATAAATTCCTAAAAAAAAAAAGACGCTCTAAATTAGCATCTCGTGAACAGTGCATTTAGTGGTTAAACAATAAAATGTAAATTTTCTTTTGTGTCTACTTGTAAAACGGAAAGGGCATCAAGAGAAGTTTTTATTCATGCATATTTATAACCGCGAGACGAATTTGTTGCTCGATAAATACCTTTCGCTTATATGTGAATCATAAAACACTTTCAGTTCTCAAAATACTGTGTAAACCGACGTCAATTTTCATTATAATGAAATTCATTTCTTCAAAGTGAATTTCTATTCAAATTTTCAAACCCAGACAGAATATTTACGTTGAAAAAAAAGGAGTTAATCAAATGTAATTTGACGCGTTCTTTTGCATGATTAGGTGGAACGAAAATTTCAACAGAGAAGGAAATGCGACATTTAAAGTTCTAATGAGGTTTTTAATTCGGCCAGTGCAAAAACCAACGTGTCTTTGAGAAAAAGATGTTTGGTCAAGATTACTTTGAAACGTCGTTCAATAACTATAAAATAAAAAATTTTCTTTTTTCAAAAGTAAACATGTAGACAGACAGCGTACCACCACAATATGTCAGCACTACACAACAGGAAAAACAATACAACGATTTGATTGAATAATTTATACAACATCCAAATATAATAGCGATTGAAGAAACATTTTACTTCCATGTTCCAGTTCTTTTGCCCGATATATTAATTTTTCCCAGACAGTATAAGCGATCTTGGTCTATTTAATCAAATGTGTTCAATTACGATCAATTGAAATAGCATGTTGTACCGCAATTTTCTCTATTTGCCACGTTGACTCTTATCCCGCTCAAGTGTACAACTTTGATTTAAATTCAGACTATTGGTCGATTAGGAAGGTCTTTATGTTTCACTGTAAGGACGTTACAGAATTTATCTAAGCAGATGTTATTATTTCATCATTTGTAGTACTTCTTCCTAACTAGAGGAAGCTTTTGGAAAGTAGCGCAAATAATATTGAGTAGGGGGAAATATAATACGATATCTTACCATTAAATTTCTGCTCACCTTGAATGGGGTCCCTATCTTTCGCAGTTTTGGGTTTGCTTTTAGACTTCTTAGCAGGAGCTCCTGCTTCACTGGTGTTCAGGGTTTTCGGCTGCTCAGTTTCGAAATCCTCTGGTTTATCCGGCTCGCTATCGACCGTAGAATCAACAACTTGGGAGACCATTTCTTCAACCTCACGTGGCTTGTCGAGAATTACACGTCGCTCGGTCACGGAACTCGTGTCTTCTTTTACTACAACTTTCTTCGACTTCTTTTTCCCTTGTCGATCTTTCGTAATTCCAGAGCTTGGCTTCTCTTCGGGTACGGGAATCTTTTCTTCAGGACGATCTGGAAGGAACTCAACATCAAGGACAGCATCAAGATTATTAGATCTAGATATCTCCACATTCGATTCGATCGTTTCCTCCACTTGGAGAGATGAAACTTCCTCCTGGCCTTCTCCATCATCTGAATACTTTTTCTTGCCTTTTCCGAGCTTCTTCCGCTGTTTCACGGGTTTTGTAGACGCAGTGCGAGCCATATAAGCCTCTTGTTCAGAGCGCTGAGCTGCGAGAACATCCTCGTATTTCTCCTCGCGAGTTGCAAAGAGTAGTAACAGAAGTGCAGATAGCACAATTGCTACAACGACGGCAATGATAGCCAAAGTTATAGGATCCACAGACTCCATCTTAACGCTCAAAAGAGCCTTGAAAAAAAAAACAGAAGAAGAAGCTTAGCTTTAGCTCTAAGCTAATACGTTTCTCTTGGAAAAAATTGATCAGAGTTCGAGAAACACGGTAAAAAGTTCAAGGGAAGTTCAATCCCAAACATAGAGCATGCGTCCATTAGTGACTGACGCGTGAAGTAGTTCTAGCCAATGAACATCCAGCACGCCACCGGAAGTACGTAATGATCAGCTGTGCAGACAAAGGGAACTATGTACGAAAGTAAACTACAATTTCTTACATGTTCGAGGCGATTCCAAAGAATAATTTGAGCTAATAATTACAAGAAGAACCTGGAAAAGAATTCAAGGCAATCTCTATACACGATAATCTATTGGAAGGATAATATTATCACCGTTCAGTGAACTAGGAAAATATTTCAAAACCGGGAGCCCTTTGTGTGCCTTGCTTTGGTCACTGATGCTTGCGAACTAGTCTCCACTTGAGGCCGAGGGCCCAATAGCCAGTAGGACAGGCGTAAAAATATATGATTCCTAATTTTTTATATAAATTTCTACCCTGATTCTTTAGGTGAAAACTTTCCTGATAATCAGAAAAGGCGATAGTAAATACACTTCTCTTACCTCGCTGGTCTCTCGAGTTAATGATTATGGGGCACAAATTGTTGGAAATCTGCTTTAATGAAAGAAGAGCGACTTCTAAATATTTAAGATCTTATGCATCACTTCAGAGGGCCTTGGATCATCAGAGGAGGTTTAGCCTGTTACCCCCTTCAGTCCGTCGGGGCGAGCGAAAAACCGCGCAAACGGTAATTGTGGTTGTTAGGGGAACGGCTTCCATACTTCCTCTTTGCCCCTCCCAGCTATTTTCTTTGGTGCTCAGTTTTCCGCTCCTACCCTTCAAGCAGAGGTCTCTTCGATCTCCCCAGAAATGATCGAAGGGACCTCTGCTCGCTGGATATTCCGCTCCTTTTATACTGACCAAGAGTCGGAAGCCTTCGTTGTCATTGCGTAAAAGTAACCCAGATACAAACCGTTCTAACTAGCGTGAAAATGCCGTGGGGCAAACAGGAGTAAAGGTTATTGCATGAATGCGACTTGATTTCTGGAGATATCTCAAGCACAAAAGGGGAACTGGTTTCCGGTAAAGGTTCAGTCACCGTTGTTTCTAGTATGCCCTCGAACATTTCATAATGTTATTAGAATGGAGGAAATTGCTGTAACTTCCCATCAAATTTCTCTTGAATGCATTTTTTTTCTCTCTTTAGATGACGTTGAAAAGTTACTACATAATTCTTCTTCTGGGCTACCATTTTCCTCAGCTGGGATTTCATTAATGTGTTCATCAAACTATTTATCCAATCCATTTCCCCAATGCCTATTCTCCCCTTCCAGATTTGTTTCCTTTCTTTGTTCCCCTTTCCTAGAGAGTAGCCATCTAAGGAAAATCTCCTTAAAAAGGTGACCCAAATAAACTCTAACAACGGCTCAGAACAAGGAAAGTTAATATTTTCTTCTAATGATTCTTTGAGCTGCTAAGACCTAACTGGGAAAGACAACAAGAACAAATACGAAATCAGCCTTTTACCAATTAATAGCATATCTTCGAATGAGAAACTCTTAATATCTCTAAAGCAATAAAATCAAGTGAAAATCAATTAAGCTCTTAGTCTTAACCTACAAACAACATGTTATCAAAATACTAAGCTACTCAATACTTAACATGATGTAAAAAAAAATCAGTATTTATATCAATGGAATCCTAGTCTACTTAACTATCTTTAATAATTGAATCAAACTACTGATTTTTAGGTTGAAATTGCTCTTATTTGCCTGTGATTTTCATGGCCATTAAAATGTTAAAAAATTAAAAGCAAGTCTTTTTTTTTTATCAAAGATATGCTGATAAAACTGATGTATCTTCTATAACAAAGACCATGACCAAATCAATGGACCCCATTAACAATAACAACAAATATTACATCAAAAGTCTTTCTGTCAAGGCTCCAAGCTCAACCTATTTCCAGGACACCATTTAGCCACCTGGAGTTAACTAATCGTTTACCAACATAAAAGCTTAGTCAACAATCAGAGGACATTTGTGAAATATCCAATGATTTTTTTAATGTAAATTTTCACTAATTTAAATTTTAACTTTGGACCATGAGCATAATAAAATACAAATAAAGCCACCTTCAGTGGCCAAAATCTTCTTCTTTAAACCATGGCAGCCAAAATCATCCTGGAGCCCTGACAGTCTGACATATTTTAACAAAACAGTTTCTTAAACAAAAGTTTTCAACAATATTAATCATTTCTTTTTCCTGCTTAGCATGACAATGGTGGCTCATGTTGGTTCTTGTTATTCTAAATAACAATTCTTCACTTGCAAGCAAAACTTGCCAATCAGAAATAATTGTATAAAAAAAAAGTTGAAAGTACCAGTTATGGAAAATACATCAATGTTTTGCACAAATGTAAGGCATCCCTTGAACAACTAACTTACTCTTGGTGCTCTAAAATTGAAGTCTAAACCAACAACATCAACTAAGGAGAGCAATCAGTCAATATTTCTTGTCCTATGCAACTTATTGGAATATTATGAAAAGTCAATTTAGCACTACGACAACTCAATTGCAATCGCATATTTAGACATACAGGTAAACTCATTAACAACCTACAACCTAGGGCCAGATGAAACAATTAACAAAATAATAATCATTGGCTACACATACTTGTAATTAAACCTGAAGAGAAATCACAACCTTCAACTCCAATCAATGGTTAAACTGTAACTTCCTGCGACAATAACACTAAGTTAAAAGCCAACTGGTGACAAAATATACAAGCTATAGGCTCAAGGATATTTCTCTGTAGTAACCTCAAATTTTCTGAACCAATTTACACAAATATGTTCAGCAACTTAAAGAGAAAAACACAAAACTGATCTTAAAAGCTAGAGTATTTAGGGCAGCAAGAGGTTTATCCAGTATCACCTGTAAGTCCAAGGGTTAGGGAAGTTTGGCAGAGCTTAGAAAAACAAATAATCAAATTCACCTTCAGACTCTACATGGTAATCATCAACATCACTAGGTGAGTTCCAGTAGAAACTTGAGGTTTCACTGTCACTGTCAAAATAGGCATCATCGTCATCAGAATCTTTCCAATCTGCAAAGAAATCTGTTGGCCAATGTTCTTTACACAGTCTTTGTAAAATCAGCTGTGGTAGCTTCATGGTTTGAAGGGTATAGGAGCCTATCTTGTCACTTAAGGTGAGGCTTTTCACTTTCTGCCACTTGTTGGACCGTGCATTGTACTTCACAGCATCACAGGAGAAAGACGTGGTCTCAAGCCTGAGAGGAACAGTAACTTGGTTTTTAACAATGATAACATTGTTGACTGGACAGTGAGGGTAAGGAAGTTTTGCAATGGGTTGCCATTGGTTGATACTAGGGGTATACACCTCACAGCTGGTGGTTTGAACTCCACTTGGATCAATTCCTCCAATGGCATAGATCTTGCCACTCCAGTACACACATCCTGGCATTGATCTGGCTTCTCTCAAACAAGCAACATAAGACCAAGAATCTTTATCTGGGTCATACCTTTCAACACTAGAAAGTGTTGTATCTCTACGTTCGAGATACCTCGTTCCTCCACCAATAATATAAATGTGTGACTCAGTTGTAACACAACCAGACTTACATCTGGGTGTATCAAGTCCTGCACAAATGCTCCACTCATCCAGTTGTGGATTGTAACACTCCACCATACCAGAGCAATCAGATACTTGCCACCCACCAATGTAGTACAAAAGGTCATTGAAGGCAACAAGGGATCCCTTCACTTTAGGCGCTTCATGGGATGACTTTACTTTCCAATCAAGTTGGACTCTAACTCCTGGTATAGAACACAGTTTCTTTGTATCGTCAAAATTCAAGGCACTGACCCTCTTCGCAGCTTCAGTTCCATACTTTAGACCTCCAACTAAATAAAGTGTTCGTCCAATAACAGCCAAATGTGGACTGTACTGAAAGAATGACAAATCTGGCAAGGAAAAAAGCTCCTTTTTCTTGAAATCATAACAAAATGCCCTACGGCAGTCTTCAGTTCCAACTCCTACAAGAACATCATGCATCTCTGTTGATGGCCTCACCTGCTTCTCTGCAAGAGATTTTATATCCTTTGATTTCTTGGATTTCCTTGTCCACTTTCTTTTTTTCACTTTCTTTGGGGCAGGAACACAAAGAGATGTATTTTCCTTCACTAGTGGTTCTTTACTTGACTGAAGGAACCCTTTTGGAAGAGAGGCCATTCGTAGGTGCTTCAGTAATTCTGGTAAAACAGGGGAGCGATTGGCCTCATCATGTTTAACCCATTTCAACACACATTGATAAACCTCCTCCTCTTTCTCCACTTGAATCTCATCACTAGATAGAAAGGACACTAAATCCTTTTGTAAAATCGACGCGAATTCTTCATTCTTTACCACGATGGAAAAGTTTACCTTGATAAAATTCTTGGCCTTTCTTGCGAGCAAATCTGCGCCAAACTGCTCTGCTATCTGAAGAACGCTGAAACAGTTATCACTAGCAAGCTGTTTGGAGAGCAATTCTATACAGGCGTTCTTCACTGGTATCACAAGTAAGAAACTGGACGCATGAAGCAGATCTAGAACGTTGTCCTCATCGATGAGAATTTCACGGGTATAGAAATACTCTAGGATTAGCGACATAGCTGTAAAACTAACTGAATGCAGGCGCAAAAGTTTTTGGCTCGATTCCTTCATACCGCTACCGAACATGGTGTAAAAGAACTGGCTATTGGCCGCCAAAACACAACGATGTGTCGTGAGTTGACGACCCTCCACCTCAAGGATGACATCGCAAAAACCCGATTCTCCTTCGACTCTGAATTTGTTTAACAAAGATAATGTATTGCTCTCTTTTCCCTTGTACATAGTTCCACCAGGAGTATGTAAACTGATCCCCTCAAGTCTCTCATTGTCTTGTAGCTCGAAAAGATTCGCTAGACTTGGTTGGTTTTCGATTTTCATGCTGGTCGCCATGATGGTTTGAGAATCGCAATGAATGGTGGGACACAAAGGCAACGTTTCCACGCGGTAATCTATTCGATTTCCCGCCAAAATAATTTTTAGGTTGTTCTCTATGATGACACGCGCAAAAGTCGCATAGACAGGAGTCATTTAGGAGAGAATGTTTTTATGATACACCTTTCGACTTCAGGTCGTCTTGAGTTTATAGAATACAACTAATACAACACTTTGAAAGTGTAGTTAAACCTGTATCAGGAAGTCACTTACGGCGAATTAATGGCGCTTATTTCAGGTTCAGCAGAAAAGGGGTAATATTAAAAGCGATTAAAAATTGTGCACTTAATGTACAAAAACTAGTTAAAATATACTAGAAACATTGGTTTCGGGAGGAAACATATTTTACTTGAAAAGTATGACTGTTCAGTTACAGGTGGAAGACAATACAAACAGGCCGTTGGGACTCACTCAAAGGTGACCAAGTCCGCTTGATAGAGCTCACTGTTAATAGAGGTGAAAATTAGAGTAATTAAGGGGAAAAAATTCGGGAATTCGACAATCGACTGCTTAATCATGACCGCTACAGGTGCGACTGTAAATGATGTAATCTTAGAATGTGCTGTACATAATACTTCGACCTGTGTGACTCATTTACTCTATACTAGTAGAGCGCGATGAATGGCCTACTTGTAAAGAGAGCAACAGTAATGCATGATCTACACTGAAAGCAGTCGTCAAAGAAAAATCTTTATAATGCATTTCTAGGCGGTGACAGTATGCAACGTCGAGCTAGAAGCGTTGTGTTTTTGTCTGGCATTTCCAGTGACATAAACTATCAGCTGAATCATGTGAAACTTGCGAAGAACCACTAAAAAAAAACACAACGAAGGTGAAATACCATGGCAGCATCTTGCTCTTGACGTATTTGGAACTTGACTGAAATTTATCAGCTAACAACTCTTGCCAGCTTCGGCAGTAAAGGTCGTTTTACAAAAAATCACTCAGCTCGTGTCCAGGTTGAACTAGACGGTAACAGATACATCCCTAATATCATGTAACACCTTTTACTGACAGTTTTTCAGAGCTGTAGTAACAAACAACACACCGATTTTTTTTTTAACAGAGTAGTGTTGATTTAATGTTTTACAGATCACGCAAAAGGATGATCGGTCATATGAGCTAAGTGGGTTTTGTTAAAAATGAAAACAGAAGCAATATTTCAACGATGTACGAGTAGTAATTTCAGAGTTAAGGTACTTCTTCTAAAACAAGGTCTCTAAACTGTTAATAAATGTCTCAAATTTACAGCAAAGAGATTTTCCATCAAAAGCCGAATTGGTACGGGTTCAGAAGTGACTCATCGAAGTGTTATCAGGTTTACACCCTGTCTTTTTGTACCATTTCTTTCACCAGTTCTGAGTGTTGAAACTCAGCTGGGTCTGTACACTGGAACTCGGTATTCAGTCCAGTGAAGCATTTCTTCAACGCATCTTTTGAACTGGCGTAAATCATCTTTTTGCCGATTGGAACTTCATCAGTACACCTGTTTATGACAAGAAATGGACAATCAAACTGTATCACAAAAATGAATAATTATCATGTTTTAACTTAGTGTAAAAATTATTTCTCATCTCATGATCATAATCACCATTATACAGCAGTGTACACGTATAGATGCTATAATAAATAAAAGAACATAGGGCGCAAAGCGTACCCTGTCTTCTTAAGAAACGTACGTCTATACAGATACCTATATTCATGTCTAAAAACTAAAACGATATATTCCCTAAAAGTCTCTACAATATTCCCTAAAAGTCTCTAAAACACTAAAGTTCGCATTGGTACTTGACGGTGGCCTTGAAGGTGCACGCTATGTTAAGCGAGCTTGAGAGCGTCGCTTTCTGCATTTTTCGCAGGACTTCCTTGCTCCTAGCGCGCACAAGCTTCTTCATTGTTTTCTCGAGGTCCTTCGACCACCCCCCTAGCACATCGATATCTATGTTGCACTGCTCCAAGCAATATCCAGGATATTGCTTTTTAAGCTCCCATCGAGGTGGGGCATATTTTTCCGTCTTTTCCTTCTCATTCCTTCGCGGTTATCTAACCAGGGACAACTCATTTCCACCGCCCAGACTTGCTCCCTATTGTGATCCACGAACCTGAACTAGTAGATCTCAGAGTGTCATAACTGATGGCGTGTGTTCAAAATCTGTCGATGTGACCTCAGGGGTACCTCAAGGGACAGTACTTGGTCCATTAATGTTTTTGTTATTCATTAGTGATATGCAAAATGGGCTAGGATGTACACTAAGATTGTTTGCTGATGATGCTTTATTGTATCATAAAATCTCTCATCATGATGNGTGTGTGTGTATGTATGTGTGTGTGTGTGTGTGTGTGTGTGTGTGTGTATGTGTGAGAGCCTATACAGTGTCTGTTTAGATAGCCCGCCTAGAATAGCTTTGCTAACTGCGGGCTGCAAAAGCCTTTATTTCTTTAATTTTAAAAAAATAAAGTCAATGTTGTTGTTGTTGTTGTTGAAGGAATCCCTATCTTTGGATTTACTAAGCGAGAGAAGAAAATTCCATCGTCTACAAATGTTCTGTAAATCTGTGAACAATAGTATTGCTTTGCCTATCCCGTCTTATTATCAATTGTCTATTAGGGAAACTAGAAATATTCGACGAATTCATTTATCCAACCATCTGTACATCATGATTACTACAAGTATAGCTTTTTTCCGAGAACCATAAGGGACTAGAACTGTTTATCACCTGGAACTAGATCAGCTTTTTGTAGTACAAAATTTTTTTAAGTTTTTATTTCTAAGTATAGCTATATTGTTAATGACATATTTTATTTATTTGATTGATATTTTTATTAGCTATTTTTATATTTTTATTCTTCTATCTCTTCTTGATGTTTAATAGCGTTGAAGAGTATTAAAAAAGATGTAGATGTAGATGGCATCCACTCTGTTGGCCTTGACGCGGCTATGGTCGACATACACTGGTACATCCCAGTACGCTTGAGCATCCGAAGATTCGTACACTGGTTTGGCCGATACTAACGAGTACCATGGTGGTACTGAGTCCACTAGCTCCAATTCTTTACAGACCTCAAAGAAAAGCACCTTTAGCACAGCGTTGTGTCGGTCCAAGTATTTCGACTGTGCTAAAGCAGGACACCAGGCTAAAACATGCGTAAGAGTTTCTGTTGCGCCTCCGCTCAGCTTACACGTGGTCTCTCCTTGAGAAGTTCCTGTTTTGAGCTTTGTGTACACTCTAGTGGGTGTGAGCTGCTCGTAAAGCTCCAGTAGCCCAGTAATCGTATGGGTGGGTGCTGACTTCCAGTCCCTCAGCCAATTAAAGCACTCATCGCCGCTCAGGTCTTTATCCTGCCACGTTGCGCACAGAAACCGTCGATGCCACAGCTCGCACTTAACTTCTTCCAGCAACTTTTCGGTCACGGACTTCCTCAGATAACCCTTAACTTTCTTTCCAGATATAGAAATATTGGGTGCTTGGTGCGAGCTACACGACGGATTCGGATAGTTCAAAGTCAAGCTTGTTCCCAGTTCCTCCGTGTATTTGCATGCCTCCTTAATCAACGACGTAAATCCCTTCTCGATCGCTCTCTCTTCAAACTTCTGCACTAGCCTCATGGTTGGATCGGAGTTCTGATGTAGCTTGATTGAGGACTTGATCTTAGTAAGTTTGTATTCTTGCTGAACAGAACGCAGTCCACGTCCACCCTTGTCCCTAGGAAGATACAGCATCGCCGTGGAGCTAAGCGGATGTTTTCCTCCATTCTCGCATATGATCTTCCTCGCCTCCCTATCAATGGATCGAAGTTCTGTAACTGGCCAGTGCTGGGTCCACATCAAGTATGCGAGAACTGGCAATGCAAACTGGTTACTTGCAGTAACACGGTTATCATCATTATTATTATCATTCTTAGGGAACAGCTCCCTTTGGAAAAGGAGAGTAAAAGATGAAACGTGTTTATTTTGTTTGAGGAAACAGACTGTACGTTATTTTTGGGGCAAGGAGTCTGAGCGATCATGAAAAAAATCGTACACACCTCGGATGGATAAAAAATGTTAAAGTAAACAAGCACCAAGAGAAATATAAAATATTTCAAGAAGAACAAGAAACTAAAACCCCGATGCAGGAAAACTAGGTTTCCAGCGCTTCTAAGGAATTAGATACTCCGTTACGTAGTACACTATAATAATGGTAATAACATCGATAACTTTCAACTTTTGTAACAGCGCCCTTGTTAAGAAGATTTTTAGAAACTTTCTAAATAATTGCTTTGGAGTTGTTTACAAATGTTAGAAAAATAAAAATTCTAACAAATTACTAAGAAAATTAAACTGTAAAATGTGTGTCTAAAAATATGTTTATATTTCAGTCCGATCAAGAAACGAAAGTCATTACTGAAGTGGAAATAAACTCCAAAGTTATCAAAGAAATCTTACCAACTGATAAATGCTAACTTCTGTGCTGTTGTTTGATTCGGTCTGGTGAAACAGAAGTCAAAAAGTATGTAACGAGGTTCGTTGCCAAAAGCCTTTTTCATGCCCTTGAATATATCCTCATTACGGGATTGAGAGCAGTTAAGAGGAAGTTTGTCTCCCAAGCTTTCCACAACGATCTTCTTTTTGTCTTTGATCATCATTACCACATATGCATGCCTTTTCTTCAGCTTGATGTCATTGAAAGCTTCGATGACGGTTTGGTCTACTACCACTCCAGAAGACTGAAATGCGAAAATCAAGTGTTAAACAGTATTTTACCTAATAATATGATCTCTATTACAGATTTGTGTCTACTTTTTGTGACTCTGCTCGAGAAAGAAATATTCCGGCTTACCCAGCGAATTATTACAAGCGAATCTGGCGCTCACATATCTTAATAAAATGGCATGCATGAATTTCAGAACTTTTTTGGCTTTACCAGATAAGAAAGATGTACTCACCATCTTCTTTGCCAATCAAATTCACTCTGAAAGGAAATTAAAGCTTGGTATAATACTGTAGTTCGTTTCCCAAATGTTAATTCAAAATATGCTTTTCGTTTTTATCAACAAAACTGTAATTAACAAGGTAAGAAAAAAGTTGAGAAATTGATTTTGTAAAATGACAAAAATGAATAGTACTTCTCTTGCAAAATGGAACATAAATAGAATCTCTAATAGAAAGGTAATAGACTTCTTGTGGTTTTAGATGCCGTAAGCTTTGAATCGACGAGATTTTTTTGAAAGTACCTTACATGCTCAGTGTACCTTGGTTTACATCCTTGAATCAGGGCGAAAAACCATCGAAAGTAGCCTACCTTTTAATTTACAGGAGAAGTAGTTGGTCAGTAAAGGGCCTGTTTATCTGTGACGTACGTTTATCGAGGATTCAATTAATCAGTGAGGTCAGAATGGAAAACATCTCAAGTTGAACTAAATTAGCCTCGTAAGTGAAAAATTAATAGTAATCAGTTTCCGAGATGACTCATCGGTCTAGTTTACGATTTTCCCGCTTTTGTGCGACGCGCCTGCAGCCAAGTCTCTCCCGATTGGAGACTTTAGATGCATGTCGCTTGCTGATTGGTTGGTTTTTGCTTTGCATCGGAACACGCTGTTGATTTTTGTCATACTTCAAGCTCTTCTCCTTCTCCATAGTTCTTCAGACAGTTCTTCACAATTCTTGGCTCTTCTTTTTTGGTTTTTCATAATTTAATCAATTTTTGTATCAAATTGTTCTCGTTACTTTATGTTTCTTTGACCTTGCGGATTACTCAAGACTATCTCCTCGATTGTTAAAACCAAACCGTTTGGTTGATGAAAGCTCGAATATAGGGGCTAGGGCTAGCCGGGCTGGGGCCTGGAAAGCCTTTTTGGCTGGGCCTTCCGGCTAACCGTCCAGCGGTTGCAAAGAAAATTCAAAATGGCGTTCTTTGATGACAAAATATGGCGGGTAACATGAATTTTCGCTTTGCTGTCCTTATTTACAATTCTAGCAATGTACACACTCGTGAATCGAGACGAGGATAGTTCAGTGTATAATTATGTTAAAAACTTGCTATTAGAAGGATCATCGGAGAAGACGAAATGGAAAGAAGCTCGTCAAGATTTCGAACGGTTCAACTTGATGTTTGGAGAGAGGAAAAGAAAGGGCCTCGATTATACGAGGATAGGTAGTTACATTTGTATTAAACTTTTTCTGCATTAATTTGTCAATTTTCTCTTATTCCTTTAAGATCAGTTTGCATTCAGATCACACCTCGATCTGCTTCTCTTTTGACCATCTGATTCTGCATCAACCTAATTATAAATCTCTGTAAACTTAAATGTTATGAATCCTTTAACTCCCAAGATCTGATTGTTAATTCTACCCTCTAACTGCTGCACATTTTTTTAAAAAATTATAATTTACAAGAATTTGGTGTTAGATCAAGGTAAACTGGGGCAAAATCTCACCTCTCCCTCCCCCCCTTCCCCACAAAGAACTGATCAGTATTCCTTTATTTTACTTCACGATCCACATTACTGCAACGTATTTGTGGTGCAGTATTATGCAACATAACATGGTACCAAATGTGTAATTGTTATTTGTCTTTTGGAGAAATGAATACCATGCAGTATTTGAGCATATTCTTATCTAGCCCTGACAAAGCTAGAATAAAACATGAAGGTGACAAACAAGGAGATAAATAGGTTCAGATCAGTTTCTTTTGATTTTGGATCCATAGGTCACATGCCAGGGCTTTGTCAAGCAGTAAATTACTACAGAGGTTCTGAAAACCTACTTTGTAAAAAGGTACCTTTAGTGAAGTAAGTGGACAAACCCCACACACCCTGACATCAGTATGCATATTCTCCATTCTTTTATGCATACATTTCTTTAGAAGCTAACAAGGAGAATTTGTTGAAGAGCTTCTTTACCTGATGATCACTTTGTTTTTTCTTGTGACCTTAATAAATATATCTTATTAAACCTTTTGTTGTGTAGTATCTCTGACTATTTTTATGAGTCAAGCCATATTTTGATGAGCGAGTAGGGTGAGTCAAAATACAAACAACAAGGTAAATTACATATATCTTATTAACCAAGCGTAAGGGCCATACTGGGAGAATATCGGCCTGAGGTCTTGACAGTATGGACCGAGCATAGCTCAGTCCGTACAAAAAAGACCGAGGGCCAATATTCTTCCAGTACGGTCCCGAGCAAGCTTGGTTAATAAGAGATTTATTATACGACTGAAGTTCAAAGGGACACACGTGCGGTATCATTCGGGACCATTCGGGACAGTGCCCGGTCCAATACTTAGAGAATATTGGACAAGCAATAGAGCATTTTGATTGGTTGATTTTAGTTATTGGCCCTCTGACTGCCCGAGTCGTGTAATAATCAGTGATACTACACAACAAAACTAAAAAATTTAATGGATATTTATTTATGGGGAGGGCATGACAGAGGTATGCAAAGCAGAATGGAATAGGCGCTGTTTCTGTTTTCTTCAATAAATGATGAAATTTCATTGTTGTCTAACTGCTCTTCTTCATTCAATTTATCTAATAAACTTGGATCAATATTTGCCAGCCATTCTGACTCTTTGTCGTCAGAAAAATAATTTTTTTGTCTGCCTTTTTTTTCATAACTTCAGTCCAATTCGTCACTTGTGTGATGCGAGAAAACCTGTCTAACCACTTCTTTGGAGTACAAATATTGCAAGTTATTTTTTTATCTTAAGCTGAATTCACTTTAAACAATTGGATTAATCAACAGAATACCCTGTGTATGTAAATGGTTAATTAACAAAAAGAAGGCTGCACTGGGGGCACTCTAAAAGTAAATTACAATTACATTTTTTTCTTCAGGTATGTTAGATCAATAGCCAAGAGAGAGGCTGAAGTTTATCAATGGATACCTGTTTCTTTTATCATTTTACCTGCGCAAATAAGATCAAAATCTGACACAAGAGTGAAATACAGTACAAAATATGAGGATGAAAGAGAGAAGCTTGTAGCATTTGCCAACAGCCTTCAAGAGAAAGTCTGGATTGCAAAGTCTTCATCTGGAGCTAAAGGTGATATTGTTGTAGCTAGGCCTTCATTAAATTAATGGAGTTGTTTATACCTTGGCTAGTTTCAGTTGTTGATGGAGAAGGAGAATCAAAAAAACAAAAAGAAAAATTAAGTCAAACTGTCAAAAATGTTTTCATTTCACATTTCCCAGATTGTTTTTTAGTTATCCCCAGTGTAATGGAAACAACCCCTTTTTTCTAATGTCTGCCTGGCTGTGTGTTCTCAATGCCAAGATCATGTGTAAAGCTATCTCTAGGAAATATAAAAATATTATGAAAAGACCTTCAGTAGATCTGACTGTAACAAATCTAATTAATTATTTCACTAAAGATCGAATGCTGAAGATAATCAGATTTAATATGAATTATATGCTTCTGTATGGTTGTATACTAGGGAAGGACATCTTCATTTCTGACAACATAGAAGAAATTGTGGATTTTGTTGATGAACAGACACAAGGGTTTGTTGTACAGAAGTACATTGAAAACCCTTTGCTTCTGGATAAAAACAGAAAATTTGACATAAGGTCAGTGTTGAAACAATATTTTACTCCATCTCCATTTAGTGGCATGATGTAAGTCTAAGTAAAGAACAGAGATGTTGGGTGTTATGTTTGGAAATTCATCTTACTCTATCACACTGATGGCAGATTTCCTATTGAATTTGATCCTGGATATGTGTTATGTATTTCATTTTACATCTGTTGGCAATTGGTGCAGCATAGTCAGTAATTCCAAATTTAATCCATTTAATTTAAATTTATGAAGTGACTAGAAATATATTTTGATGACACCTCCTGGATAGGATGTAAGTGCAATCTATCATAGGTAACTGCAAACCAACGTGCAACATCTGCTCTTGGAAACATCAATGCAAACTTTGATTGAATCCTTTTGCTACCAAGAGCTCACTAGTAATTCTCCTCACTGTCTGCGTAACAGTTCTTATGATATGGAGAGTTTGGTATTAGATCATCCTCTGAGACCCAGGGGCTGTGAGTTGATTTCAAGTTGATCTACAGTAGAGATCTACAGTAAGATCTACGCAAAAAAAGATGATTTTATATACTTTTAAGCATTGTGTTTTCTGGTATTATATTATTATTTCAATTAGGCTCTTGTAAATCTCAGTTTTTTGCATGTATATATATTGTTTTTCTCCCTGTGCATAGCTTTTATTCTTTTGTTAATATCTTTTGTGTTTGTCAAATTTTGATTGTGTATAGTAGGTCCACATCAGCCCTTCGGCTGCCAAACAATCCCAACCTACCTATCAAATAAAGTTTACCTTACCCTGCTCTTCCGCCCCAACTTGAAATCAACTTGCAGCCCTTGGGTCTCAGAGGATGGTCTTAGATCAACTGATAATCCCCTTTATTGCATTTATTTACGAATCGCACCATTTTTTGCTCTAAATTGCATCATTTCACGCTTGACTGAGTTTTTGACACATGACATCAAAGTCTTTCTGTTTTGCATACAAAATAGGATGTAAAAGCATTTCCGGTTCCGCTTTTTATTTAAAAACCGGTTCAGTACTGCATTAATAAAATATTTGAATTGATCAAGTCCTGTATTTGGGCGATTTCAAAATGGATGTAACAAAGTGGTAATTGAACCTTGTGTTGTGCTGCGCGCTCGTTCGATTTTGAAATCATGAGTATGATTTCAGCCCAAATTGCACTCCACCCAGTTCCATTACCATTATCAATCATACTTTTCTTTATTCTCATCACTGGTCTGCTTGATATTGTTTAGAAAGTGTAAGAAGAAATTCTCTCTCTGTCACTTGGGGGGAGTTGAAGGGTTAAGGGAAAGATGGTGTTTTAGTGGAGCAATTGATATCAACTGCTGCCCAGTTAGCCCAATGGATAGGGCACTGGACTGTTGTGCGGGAGGTCGAGGGTTCGAGTCCCGGCTGGACCAACACTCAAGGTCTTAAAATAATTGAGAAGAATTTGCTACCTTTCTATAACATAAAGAAATGGTTAGATATCCTAGTCTTCTCAGAGAGGGACGAATAAATGGAAGTCCTGTCTCCTGCAGGATTGGGGTAGGAGACGTTAATTTCCCACACACGAGATTACTGTGTGATGGATGTCCTCCCCTGGGGTGGGATGGGTGGGTTTACTGGGCCTGCAGTAATTGGTGAATCTAATAATAAAATTAAATGATCAATAAAATTGCACAGAATAGTGAGAATATATGATTTTCTTTCAAGATCTTTACATAATATTATTTTTATTTGACTGTGTACTAACTTTCAGGTGCTGGGTCCTCCTGGATCATACATACACCATTTATATTTTCTCTGAGGGAGTCCTAAGAACCTCATCTGAACCATATGATGCTGATAACTTAAAAAATATTACCAGTCATCTGACAAATCATTGTATACAGGTAAATAATGTGTACTTATTGACTGAGAGGGTGGGCCGGATGGGGAAAATGTTTAGTTTTAGGTCATGAAGTACATACTGAATGCATGACCAAAAGCCAAATGTTTTCCCCTCTAGCCTGGCCCAACTCAGTCCATCAGCAATTAATCATATGACCTTTGTTATTTCTTTTTCCTCCTTTCTTCTTTGTGCTCTCAGCTTGCAGTGCCATATAGCTTTTAAGGCCCTTCTCATATCATTGTATAGGACCTTCATATGGGGATTTTTGTGGATGTGCATTTGTGCATTTTGGGGAAAAGGTTGATTTTTCCTGTTCACTGCGTACAGTTTTAATTTCATTTTAGTTCAGTTTTTTATTTTTGTGATGTATCTGGCAAGACAAATGGCAGTTAAAAAAACAAAAACAAAACAAAAACAGCTGCTTCTAATACCATCAGTGCTGCTTATAAGCAGGATAATTTCCCAGCACAGACTATTCCATTTAACCCAACTAACCTGATTTTTAGGGTGTCCACATTTCAAACAATTAAATCAAATCCTCAGATGTGGTAATTATTTATTCACAGGAAGAACACTCTGCTAATTTTGGACAATATGAAGAAGGAAATGAAATGTTCTACAGTGAATTTTCTAGGTAGGAACCCTTTGCATTAATAGTCAGAGCCATCTGAAAAGCTGTAAATCTGTTGTCAAAGATTCTAAAGAAACTAAATAAATAAAAGTACATTGCAATTGCAGTGGTGTAACGCGTACTGGTTCTTATCGCCTTACTAATTTTTGAAAACTATAGCAAAGTAGTGAAATGAAGGTAGGCACCTTCATTTCTGCTCAGCTAAAATACTTGTGAATGTCATTTGCTAGAAGCATATTTTGGCTCATATTTCTAGGGTCTTAGGATCCAACCTTACTAATTATTTCCTTTTGTTCTTTGTATATAGGTATCTTGAAGAAACTTTTGGTGTTTCTCTTGCTGGGACAATCTTACCTCAGATAAATTCCATTGTTAAGAAATGCCTGCTTGGGCTCAAAGAGGTCGGAATGGGCCATTTTACAGTTGTGTGCTTAGCTGCCAAGCCTTTGATTTGGAGTGAGGCTGAAAGTGACTTAGTTGTGATAGAGACTAGTATCTATTTAGCATGAGAACAAAGTAATTTACATTTGAAAAGCAACAACATTTGTATCATAACAAGGTCACCTTTCGTCTCACTGCTGTTCAAAGGCTTGGCAACCAAGCACACAACTGTAACATGGACTATCCAAGATAGCATAAACAATGTTTGTTATGAATTCTGCTTCAGTTATGGTAAATGTGAGTACATCTTAAATGTTTGATAAAGACATACGAGATATTTTGATAGTCGAGTGTTAAGATTGCCAATACTGGTGAAGAGGTTACTTGGTTCATAAGCCCTTCATGGGACAAAAGTAGTCTAGTAGATATGTGTAAAAAAAAATTGTTTTACCTTTAAGTTAGTAGAATTTATTCAAAATTGGAATGAAATTTAAACCCACATTGTAATCATTTATTAAGTAAACTTGATAACAGATTTTGAAATGCTGGCATTCTGAGCCTAAACCTATGTTCAAAGCTAAATTATTTAATCAGCCAAACTTATTGATAGTAGAATTGTATTCAATATATAGGAACTGACCACAGAAGGTTTGGGATATCACAGTTTTCAGCTCTTTGGGTTTGACTTTATGATTGATGCCCAGTTTCATGTCTGGCTCTTGGAAGTTAATGGGGCTCCCGCTTGTGCAAAGTAAGTACAACCTGTTGTGTGTGTGTGTGGAGGGGGGAGGGGGGTGGGGAAATATGGGAAGTGTGCTTTGAACAGCAAATTGCTGAGGGTGTGGTGTGATCCTCTAGGTGAGGTAGATCCTGTTGAGGACCATTTTCACTGAAAACTGTACCTACAACTGTCCTTTCAGGGAATAAACTCTCCTGGATCATTGCTCTTCATGATCAACTTGAAAACATTATCATTGTGTTTGCAGGGTAATTTTTCACATCTGACTTATTATTTGCAAATAACTTGACTATACAAATCTAATAATGCAGGTTTACTAATAAAATCTGCAACCCTAAAGAATCTCCTTGGCATTAATCTTTTCATTGACTCTATTTGGAAAATGGCTGTATAGATCACATCCCATAAGGTACCTGGAAATTGGTTACTGAACAGAGCCCCACTCCCCCCTCTGAAAATATTCTACTTGCTCCTGTGCTATGAGCACATTAACAGGAAATGCCACTCCCTAATTTCAACAGTACCTAAGACGTTTTTTTTATTTTTTTATTTTTTTATTTTTTATTTTTTATGATGGCCATTGTCACCATTCCCAAATGTTTTTAAAAATCTGTTGGGGATACCTGACTTGGACGTAACTTTTTCTCTGCCAACAGCAGCTTAAAGTACATGGGTAACTATTTTGGTGTAGCACTTTTGCTTGATCAGAATATTTCTGGAAACTGAACTCCTCTTTCTAATATTTTAGGGCTTTATTACCAGCCCTAGCTCAAGACCTTGTGAGAAAAGCCATCGATCCTCTCTTTCCAAAAGATAGCAGCAAAGGGGATACTTGTGACCGCGATTCATCAAAGAGCAAGACAGGGAATATCACACAGGGACATTTTGTGATCATTTAAAAAAGAACTAACCTCGTAAATGAATGCTACTACTACCGCACAGAATATTCGACGATCACTCTCGCTGTTATAACTCACTAACCGAGTGAAACACGCCACAGAGAAAGATACTCATGAGTTTACCCAAAGATGCTGGTCGTCTGGCTTAAGAGTGCAAAACACGGTTTTCGGTCCCACTTTGGTTTCCAAAACGAAACTATGTTTACCACTAAGGGCTGCAAGCGACGAAATAAAAGAAATCTGTTCTTGTGAATGTTTCTTAGAAAGTAGACTATCGCAGCAGCTAATTGTGGTTATTCTTCCCTCTTATCTGTCAGCCTGTTTAAAGTGTCATTTGCTACGGCCAAGCTGCGAATGGTGAGCTTTGGCTGAGGGTTACTTAAAAAAATTTCCACAACTAATGAAAGCTTTTAAATACAAGACAGATCATTTTGGCCTTACATGTTTTCTTACCTTATGATTTATGTAGCAATACCGTGTAACCATCTCAGTTCCATTATGAGGGGGCGGACTTTTTCAGGAACTTGACGGAATTTTTTTCTAGAGAAGGAATGGGGGGTATATTTCAGAGCGTTAACGATATTAACCTGGTTGGAGCGACTTGGTCGGACTAGTATACAATATTTTGCGCTTAATGTTTGAATTGAGCTTTAGATTCAGATGACAATGGATATTTTTTTACCAATTTTTTTAGATTCAGATGACAATGGATATTTAATTACCAAATCGCTACGCCGCTCGGCAAATATCCACCACTAGTCGCCTTCACTTCGGCAAATACTAAGTTGTTTTCACAACTACTGATTTACTTAACGTCCACTTTAAAGTAGATGCTCCTAACAACCCGGCAAGGACAAACGTTAAAGGTCTTTGAAGAAAAGAACAAGTTTATAATTATTATTTCCAAATAATGGCATAACTTTGGCTCTTTGGGAATAGTAACATTAAATCGCGCGCTGTATTCAGGCAGGGGCCAGAAATTGTAAAATTTACTCTAAGTGTTAGCCCACTTGCAAATTGAGTGCGCGTAAGGTAGGAAAATTCGAGTCACAGATTTCGTGTGGTGGAATATTTACCATGGCGGGACTGTGACGGATTTTACCACCCAAACTTTAGTTTATACCTCGAATGGCACGAACCACCTTTCAATATTGCAACTCAGCTAATAAAATGGATTATCTTGTTAGACTACACGCACACTGACGCCGCACCACAATTTCTTAAGAAACTCGCCACCTTTATTCTTTCATCCTTTCACTAATTCAGCGACTCGTGTCGTTATATTTTTCCAGTTTATACAGACTCGTCCACAACTTTTAGATGCATTTCAAACTTCAATCGAAAAAGTTATAGACAACGAAAGAAAGAAAAGAAAACGAATGGCTAAGTTCAGAACACAAACATAGTCTTTGAATTTAAAAATCTGCCAAATTTCATTAAATATGAACACCCAATTAGATTTTAAATTAGTATTTGAGGTTTGTCGATAAATATTTATCAAAAAATATTTTAGGGACTTTATGAATTTAGTCATCAAAGAAACGGCAATCCACCCAGAAGTCTTGTTAAAAGTCCTCTTAACGACGAAACAACACTAGAAGCGTACATCTGATATAACGAAATTCTTAGATGGTTTATGGTAGAATCTGCTTGAATTCGGACCCACTCCATCCAGCCGTGGCAATTTTCTAGCCGTTTCTTGGTTACAGCGCGAATACAGCAGCGTGACATTGTTATGAACGAGCGCGATGTGGCGCTGGTGTTCAACCTGTAGTCTATACTCCGTAGCAGATCGTTTGTTTTCAACAGTAACAGCAGTTGCCTGGGAACACGGTTCAACAGCTCCGTTATCTCGGTTACATACGTCGCCGCGTTCACTCGGATAAGCTCAGCCTGTTGGAAGAAAAATTCGTTTTGTTTTAATTAATCAACTCTCCAGATGAGATCTGACGGAGAATCCCCTCCCTCCCCTCCCCTCCCTTGAATTGGCTAGGAATCGAATCCCCATTTCGTTCAATAATAAGAAACTTCGGTTCTTGCACTTGTTGGATATTAATTTTCCGGTTTCTTCACTTTCATTCCTCAACAAAAATCAAAACTTCAGTTCGACCTGGAATCACTGAACAAGGGAGCCACTTCTAGTGATGAGCCATGTCCAGATTCTTTATAATCACTTATCTTCAACTGTCAATTTCTTGAACCCAGGCGTACCTCATCATCAGTAACTGGTCCCTGGTCTATTCCTGTTGTGACTACGTCCCAGGACCTCGCTGTCAGTATACAGGCCAAAAGTCCATACATCTCTTCCACACCTAACTTCTTACTGCTCTGTTTGATTCCCTCCAGATCTGATTCGATTAGCGACTGCCACATTTTGCAGTAGTCGATCCGAAATTCATTGGATAAAGTCTGCCAAGGGAAAGTCAAAGGAGACAGCATGTGCATTTGGAAAAAAGTGTTTTTTTTGTTGTTGTTAACATTTGCAACCCATAAGCATCCTTGTTAATCCTCTCCTTTCCTGACCTTCTGGGTCTTTTCTGATATATTTGAACTTCTCAGTTCTTGGCTGTCCTTTCTAAACTGTACACCTACTATTAGCCCTACCATAACATACATTATATGCGCACACCCATTCCTGATACCTGATGGAGAGGGGCATTGGGGCTATTAGAAACCACAAAACCGTATGAAAAAAATCATCCAAAACCACAAAACTGCTAAAAAAAATTGATCAAAACCGAAAACTGCACACAGAACCGTCAAAAGCGATGAATTTACGTATCCCG